CAGAGCAAATGAATAATCCTGATCTGCTAGTAAATAGTCACCACGCTCGAAGGCCTCTTTCCCTTGCCTCAATCGGCGATCGCCCCCATCGGGCGATGGACACTAAAATTAGAGACACTCAAAGGCCAATGCAAGGCCGCTTGACTATGCTAATGGAGAAAGCAATGCATCCCTAGGCCAAGGTAACCGCATTGGACATCATTGGACTTATAAGCAGTGGATGGAGTTTGGGCATTGCATTACGCAAATCTGGATCTATTGGGGACTCAGGTTGAATCAAGTCATTCGATCCCAAAGATGGTGGATTGCCGCCTTTGATGCTCAGGTTTCCCCTCTTCAACCACCACATCCAAGCACTTTTCTCTCCAAGAAGCTCCTTTTGTTTCAGCCATTCGATCCCACTATCCTCTGCTTGTGCCCACAGTCAAAAGTCTTGTCGAGGAGGAATTTGGTTGATTTCAGGCTGAAGAATGACATCTGAACTCAAAATCCATCTTGAAACACGTGTTCCAATTTCAATACATGCCCTGGAAGGCCATCATGCCCTCTAAGCTCTAAGGACATGACTAAATTGGACCCACAGAAACAAGTGCAAAGGATTGCAAACAATTGTCCTCCTGCAGTTGAGACCATGCCACCACTCCTTCTTGCCGCGCCCACTGTGTGGAGTTGAGGCCTGGTCCGTTGCCAGAAAAACGGAAGCAATGCATCAGAAAGCGCCAATCTGAGAGAGGGTGGTTTTGTTGTCATCCGTTGCCAGAAAAACGGAAGCAATGCATCAGAAAGCGCCAATCTGAGAGAGGGTGGTTTTGTTGTCATTTTTTGCTCGGATATGTTGATGATTTTAGTTCTGGACTGTGCCTCTCAAACGGCCGAAATGGTAAGACACAAAATGAGGCATGTTTCACTTTACATCTCCCTACCAAACCCCCTATTCGTAAAATCGGTCTCTGTCATGCTGTCATGCTTCAGTGCAAAGCAACAGTGATGGTATGAGTTAGTGATGCATCTAAACGCGCGAGCAAACATGTGCTCATCAATGTTTAGAAGATTACCAATGTTTAGAAGATTACCAATGTTTTGTTTTTCAAATTCGAATTTCCCTGTAAGCAAATCAAATAGCGGCAGATGTGCTGTCCAATTTCGACGTGAGCAACGCCTTGCTTCTCAACGGCCTGCTTCAAACGATGTTTCGCCTTTGCATTACCAGAATCCAAGTGAGTTGCAGCACCTGGCGTTTGGGGATCTTTTCCCGTAACGACCGTAACGTCGTAAAAATTTGTTCGATCTTTCACAGTACACCAATTGGCAATAAATTTCCCGCACAATACATCCTACCGGTGGTTACTGCACATTTTAAATGCAAATGTGTAGCCCAAACATCTTTCCTTCCGATTTTCAAACAAAAAAGTAGCTGGATTTCTCGCCATCCAATGTCTTTAGTCTGGTGGGAGAAAGATTGTATTTAACAATGGTAACAACCACTCTGGCAAATCCGCCCACACCGCTTTGGCGGTGAAGGCGTGCTTATTGGGGGGCAAAACAGCAACACTAAATGCTCAATGACATTTGTTAATATAGCAGTCGCTATATCAGCTTTAGCTGGGGGGGGGGCCCAAAAACGGTTTCGCACCGAGACCAGAATACGGTGGTGTTTTCGACATTTTTCGAGGATTTTTGGGTGTCTGAGCGCAAGAGGGTATTGAAATGGAATTTTGGGTCATTTTAGTAGCTTGCCGGCAATGGAAAAACGGCCAAAAATGAAAAAAAAAAAAAAAACATTGTACATAGCAAGATTTTGCAGGGTTTTTGGATGCCAGAGCATTGAAAACACTGCAAAAACAAGTGTTTTGGACTGACGTTATAGCAAAAAACGTGTAAATTACCGTATGCTTGACTGGAAGCATTACAAAAACACTGTCAAAAGCAATGTTTCGGAAGGATTTACTGCCTTTATGGCAAAAAACGTGTAAATTACCGTCTGTTTGACTGGAAACATTGGACAAACACTGTCAAAAACAATGTTTTGGAAGGATTTCTTATATATATGTTGGAGTTGGCTACCGGCATTGGAACATGGAAAAATTGAAGAAAACACTGTAAATAGCGGTATTTTCAACGGTTGGGGAGATAAGGGAATTGGAAGCATTGTCGAACATGATGTTTTCGACCGGGTTTTATGGCGACAAAAGTGTAAAGCACCGTGCTTTGAAGGAAACCATTGCAAAAACATGGAAACACATTCAAAGAACACGGGATTTGGGGGACTATCTAGGCGTCGTTGTCTAGCTATTTGAAATTCTGCAGCTTGGAGAGCCTCCAAGGGAGGGAAAAGTGAAAATTCCATAGCTTGGGAAGCTGTCACGGCGGGGAAAAGTGAAAATTCCCTGGCTTGGGAAGCCCCCACGGGGGGGAAAAGTGAAAATTCCCTAGCTTGGGGAGCCCCCACGGGGGGAAAAGTGAAAATTCCCTAGCTTGGGGAGCCCCCACGGGGGGGAAAAGTGAAAATTCCCTAGCTTGGGGAGCCTCCACGGGGGGGAAAAGTGAAAATTCCCTAGCTTGGGGAGCCCCCACGGGGGGAAAAGTGAAAATTCCCTAGCTTGGGGAGCCCCCACGGGGGGGGAAGTGAAAATTCTTAGCTTGGGGAGCCCCCACGGGGGAAAACCACCCTTAGCCCCTCTCACGGACCGAAATAAACCTGCGGTGTGGGCGGCCACCCCACGCGAAGCGGGGTGAATAACTTCGGACATGATTCCGAAAGCGATCAATGCGTGGGTCCCACTAATCATAGCAACGGGTTGTTTTGTATCTCACCTGAAAGGGCGACAGCCAGCAAGTGGTTGCCCAATTTCATCTGGCAAAGTGATCTGTTGCTGCAGAGAATGGATAGTTCTTGGCGAGGCTTGGAGGCTGCCTCCTTAGTACTCTCATCCAGGGAATGAGATGCTTCATATCCCCTGAAAGACACTGAAACACCACATAGGAATGTTACATCAATGGTTAAAAAAAACAAGGCATGTGCATACCAAGTTTCAAGCGCTTTTTTGTAGAAATCCAAGGCCTGTTGATGCTCTTTCGCTTGGAAACATTTGTTTCCTAGGGTTTTGAAGTCGCTTGGGCTGGAGGCACTTGATGCATCAACGATCTCTGAAGGATCATCTACGCGGATGCCCAAGGAGCCGTCCATGAATTGTTTGTAGTAAGGCTCTTGGACTGCCAAGGTCCTCTGGAAACGTGAACACCATCCAAAAACAAGTCCACGAAAAATGTGTTTACATATACATATGCCTATTTTGTACACATGCATGTACATATATATATATATAAATATACATACTGACAATATGGACATATATATATATATATGGACATATATATATATATATGGACATATATATATATATGGACATATATATATATATAACGACTCCGGCGCACTCTTTTCTCCATTATCCAAGAAGTTGCACAGGCAGCTGGTCTGTTCACAGCTGCTAGCCACGTCCATCATCCCCAGTTCCTCCAAAGGTCTTCTTGGTGGAGTAGGGAAAAAAATTCTTGCTGGCACCTTTGCATCTTTCAGTTTTCGAGAACGCGCAAGGAGAACCGGAAAAAGATTTGCAACATCAAGGACCTTTTGACGAGATGTAGTGGAGATCTTCTTCAAGTACAGGAGTGCTGTGGTCTCCTGCGCTTATATTTCCATCACTCTTTGGCTCAACCAACGTCCCTTTCGCCTACAGAGTTCACCGTCTTCTGTGACTTGCAGATGCCATGTGTATCCTCCGACCTGAGTGAGCCAACGTCTAAGGCTCACGCAGAATCTCTCAAAAACGAAGTCTGAAAGTTTGCCCTGTTTGTGCCCATAACTTAGCTGCTTTGCTGGCTCAGGAAGATCCCCAAAAGCGATGTCAACGTCCAGTTTGGCTGCTTGATGCCGCGGTCCAGTTTGCCTAGTCTTAGGCTTGTTTATAGAAGGCAATGCAAATTGCATAGTATTGCCAACATCCCTTGGCAAAAGAAGTTCGTGCCTACTAGAGGCTGACAAAAAATTCGTCCGCCAAGCCAAACGTAGACAGCCGGCCACCTCCAACCGGCCCCCTGTCAATGCCACTGAGACCACAAGGCATCGCAATGTGGTGTGAAGACGGCTCGGACTTCACCCAGCTACAAGCCAGATCCCAGGCAGCCTGTAGCTGCCAACGTGGCACTGGTTTCTTGGCACTGGGCATGTTGATGGTTTCGGCATAGACCGAATCAGGCTTCCCAGCAGCGTATAGGGCTCTACCATATTTAACCAGAATGGAGTTGAGTTCGTCAACATACAGAAGGAATGACTTCAACAGGCTGGTCATGTCAATCCCTTCAGCCTCAGTCCATCTCAAGAAATTTCCCCAGTACCTCTCACATAGCTTGGTGGTTACTTCTAGAGTAGGCCTTCCTTCTGGCAGTTGTGGCCGTGAGGCCCGTAGTTCAACTTTCTTGCGCTCCAGTCCAATGAAAGGCCCAACAGCGCCGCGTATAAAATAACCCCGCAGTCAGCAGACCAAAGGCAGGCAAGCAGCAGCAGACCCCGACCTGGTCCCATGGGAAAATCCAAAGAACGACAGGACGGAAGGAAAGCAATGGCCATGGGATCAGAGGCAAGGAAATGCAAGATAAGGAAGAAGGGAAGACAAGGTCCTCCACCTGGGAAGCCCAGGGTGTGATCAAAATCCAGCACACTAAAATCCAAAGCTGGGCAATATTGAAATCCTCTCCTTCTGTTAAACACATCTGATCTCCGGTACTCAGCTCTGTTGGCGATCTGGAGCAGGTTGGGCGAGGAGAGGAGAAGGCAGAGTCTGACCCAATTTGACGCCCACCTACGCAGCCTGTCAATGCCAGGGACGGGTTGCCTGCCTGAGAGGTTGATCCCGGGTAGGATCGTCAGAGACGTTCAGCCTGGTAGGGCAAAAGGGGTTGACCATGTAGAGGTCTGACGCAATCAGTGTAGAATTGATTCGCTTCAAAACTGCTGAAACAGCTTTTGAGGATGATCTCCCCTCACCCAAGGCTCCTCTAGAGACATTGGAATCAACGAACGAAACGAACCTCTCTGACCTCGCGCGTGAGGCTTTTTCCTGGACAAGATTCTCAACTGACCTCAACTCCACAAGGTTGATATGGCTTAGAAACTTGAAAGGCCAGCTCTTATCAATCAGCCAATTTGCTGTCAAAACAACTTCATTGTGCCAGCTGCACCAAGAAATCAGGAGTGGGTGTGAGATGAGGACGGGAAGAATGGATGGGTGGCAGTGAGCACCCCAACCGCTTCAAGCAAGGAACCAGCACCCCACATCAAGACCTTGAGATGAACCGTTGCCAGTCGTAGTTAGTTGTTTGAATCATATATATATATGTGTGTGTGTATTTATATGTATATACTTGCATGAATGCAATATTTGGTGTTTCTATGTAAGAAAGATGTCCTTCTTGATAGACAGATTCTTGGGCGCACAAGTCACGATCCTCCATCATACCGGCTGCTCAAAAGACACTGTTCCAAAGCTGGCAAATCCTGATACTGGGCAGTCCTTCCCTTGAAGAAGATGTGCTCAGTCACGGGCCAACTTGCGTCAGGGATGTTGTAGACTGCAACTTTGATCACGCCTCCCTGACGGTCCTGGGGTGGTGCAAGTATGGCGGCCAATTTCACAAAGAAAAAAGTCATGACAATTGCGTCCGAAATAAGTAGTACACCAAAATCCGCCCGCACCGAAGGTGCCGATGCGCTTTTTGTTGGCACGCATGATCCGGAAGCAATTACAACAGCTATTAACCTTTAGCTTGGGGGAGGAGCATTTTTGCTCTAAAATCCTGCGTACTGTGTTTTTCCACGTTTTTTTTTTAAGGGGCCTAAATTCGGCTAAGTTGCCAAACTTGCGCTCAACATGGCCCAACATACGCCCAAGATGGGCCCAACATAGGCCCAACATAGGCCCAACATGGGCCCAACATGGGCCCTAAATGGCCCAACACGCCTCAACATAGGCCCAACATAGGCCCAACATGGGCCCAACATACTCCCAACATACTCCCAACATGCGCTCTACAAGGGCCCGACACAGAACATATGGTCTTATTTATTGGAACTCTGTAGCTAACACTCTGGTGCGGGCGGTTGTCGTCGCGAAGCGACCATAATATGCATCGTGGGATATGAAACGAAGTGTTGAGAATTTAGAACACATGTATCTTAAATCTGTGTGCACTCATAGATTCATAGATGGCGCAAAAAAAAATGTCAGTTGATAAGTTGATATATTTGGTAGACTTTGGCGAGTATGTTCTAAAACCTAGAACTCAGGAAAGACCATGTGTTTCAAGAAACCAAACAAAGTAAGCCTTGAAAAAACACTTTACAAATAGAATTAGATTTATAAAAAGTGGTCATGATGTCACGACTACAATTTGCAACTGAACTCCTCCAGCAAGAAAACAGACGATCCAGTGAAGATTGGGTCTTCGCAGATAGTCCCTGGCTTAGCACCACAAACGAAACACGGAGTGTCCCTTCTCAGCAGAGTGTGGCTATGCGCCCACAAAAGAGCCCGACAGCAAGACTTTGTGATCTAGCAATCTAGTATTGCCCAGCACAAGAGCAATAAACATCCTGGTGGCGCACAAAACATTCCTCAAACATTTTTGACCATACTCAGATGAACAAGAAAAAGTCTGGTCAAGAAAAATGTTCATTTTTTATCGGAACCATCAAAGTCTTGCTTTGGGGATATCTTGGAACAGCCCAGAACTTCCTTAGACTCCACTGTAATCAAGCCCTCATAGCATGATCATTCAGTAGTTCCGATAAGTAGGATGATCGTCCAACTACCTGTTTCGATAATCTGGTTTTATCATCTCAGGTCACAATTTGGCATGTTGGAATCTTGATAAACGCAGGTGTGTCCCCATAAAAGAACAGTAAGTCCATTTGGATAGTTCACCATCTGCCCAGCCTTCCAGAATCTTCCCTCGATGGGTGGTTCCCAGCGACAGATCTTTTACCGTCGTGGGAACCAAAGATCCTGCTCGATGGTTCACTCTCTTGGAAATTGTCTCACCAGCAAGCCTGGAAAATACATGAAAATATATGGGTGTGCATTGGATTTCCATCAAATTAAATCCAATAATGTCCAATTGTGCCTGGTTCTTCCAACTGGAGGGTTCGACAGGATTAAGTTTCAGCCGTTTCAGCCTGGAGTGGGCCCGCTACCAGTGTCCGGTTTTCTAGGAGGCGTGCCATGTGCAGTTGGCAGTCTGGAATCTGAACTTAGGCATGCAACAGAGATGTTCAATTCCCGCCAAAAAAAAACAACCAAATTGCCATTTCAACTGAGCTTGGCAAACCAAATGCAATAGAAAATGGGCGTTCTCAAAATTTAGCAACAACAAACTAGCAGAGTGCAATGAATACGGAAACAGTTTGGATCCCTCTAAACTCCATGCTTAACATGCCCAGCCAACACTTCCAAGCCAAGGCAGTCCTTTTCGACTACCAGAGCTGGGTTTGGTGTCAAAGGAGTGTCGAATGTTGATTGAATGCAGCTGCTGAGAATTGATTTCAGCCGCTGCAGCCTGCCCCAAGTAGTGCTGGATGAACACAAGATATCCCGAGAATCAAAGCCTCCAACCCAAGTGGACAACCCCAAACAAGGCTTGTGGATTTCCCACAAGGTGCTAGTCACCACAGTCCCAAACAGAAGAAAAATTCAAATTATTTGGTCTCTCTGAACAAACCATTGCACACCTTGTTGGCGGCTCTGTTGGCCTACCACCCCCACTAATACCGGGTTTTCCCCCCCGTTCATCGAAGACAAGTCTATGAATATGTTTGTGGGTTCCAAAATTGAAGAAAACAGGGGAATGATTGAAGTTTGGGGTATGGAAATTGGGTTCAAGGGAAAAAAAATTGTGGAAGCTGACTGGATCTGAGTTTCATTGACTTATGAACAAGTTCTGGCAACAATGGAGTTTTGGTGACTGGTTTTGGAATCTAGTTTCTAATTCAATCCCAAACAAATGAAAAGAAGAAAGGCATCAAAGAGCCTAATTTGTTTCCTGATCCAAACGATGTCCTTTTACTATGTTTTACTCATGGTATTTTTAATTTCAAAGTTGCGCTGGGTTTATGGATGAGGACATTGGTCCGGTGATGGGCCTTGAATTTTTCACGATCCTTTCTGAACTGAGTTCGCTCTTCCGCTGGAGACTTCTCAATGCCACGATTCATAAAATTCATGGCATGTTCCATGATTCGCTCCTGAACAGAAATGATTTGGGCACACCAAATCCCCATAGTGGATCTTCCAAATTTAACCCTTCATCTGGTAACAAAACAGAAAGACTTACAAGCGTCCACCAATTTTTTCAATGATGTCCATGTCCTGGTCTTCAGGGCCCATACTCTGCAGCATCTGCATCACTTTTGCTGGATCCGGAGACCCCGTCATCTCCATGAAAGTGTTCATGACTCGTACAGGGGACGGCTCAGCCGGTGTCCCGCTGATGAAGAAGCAAAACTCCAAAATAAATCGGTGGTTGAAATGAATCGGCGATTGAAAATGCTTACGACCTGTAAGACCTGTATGACCTCGAAAGCGACAACCGACACCATATAACCCTCAAGGATTGGCAAACCGCTCCAACCCTTTTGTCTCAACCGCTTCTAAGCCACTGTTTGGGCAACGGATTCACTCGAATTTGTGTGTGCGTGTCATCCTGCAGACAACTGGCCATGCTAATCTTCTCTGTTTCGTTTCAACTACCTGGAGCCTACATGCTTGTACATGTCCATGAGTGCAATGACTAGAATCTTACACCCCACCTTGGCGCTGCAGCAATTTCTGGTGCTGTCCACATCTATTATAGGTTGACCCCTACCAGGCCACTGTGCTGAATTCAAGTTCCAGTTTCCATTGAAATTTTCTATGCCACGCTCACTGTCTGCATTTGGGTCAGCTGGAGTACGTAGTGCTCTGTTTTGTCTCATGCATTCATTGCGCACCACTTTGCCCAGCATCACCACAGCAACTAGGCAATGTCAATGAGAGCTTCGATTTCGGACATCGCACGGGCATAGTTGATGGCCTCTTCCCGGTTGCCATCCACTTCTGCTATGTTGTGCCTCATCCTCAAAGATTCCAGCGCACTCCGTGGTCGAAACTGATTAGCTCTGGAGAATGCCACCATACGCTCGTAGTTGTTCACATCGAGGTTGCCATAGTGGGTCTCTGCCCACTCTTCTGGGTCAGATACCTCCTCCTGATTGGAGTTCATGTCCTCCTTTCAGCAGGAGTTTCTTCCACATCCATCTTGTCATCATCGTCGTCCATTTCTTCATCTTCTCCTTCTGCATGTCTTCTGTAGGTTCGATCAGTTTCTTCATCTGCTTGAGTTTCACCAACTGCCCGGGGATCCTACCGCACATTGGTCCTAGCAACCAGCCAAAGTTTAAACACAACATTCCAGACAGAGGTTCCCGAGATCCTACCTTGCTGTGGTCCTATTAACTCTGCTGAAGTCCAAACACAACTGTACAGTAAGAGGTTCACACCCAAAATCCACTCCAGTCCCCACAACAGGCAAAACCAAACTTTAATTGCCATGCATCAGCTCACTCTTCCATTAAACCCTGCAGAACCGCAATCGAGTCCGCACTAATTTTTTTTTCCTACGGTGTGGTGGAAAAACACACTGCACCCAAGAAATTCTCAAAATCCATGCGGCATGAAACAACAACCGCCTACCACGGTCAAACGTCTTCTATCAGCCACGCCGCTGACAACTTAAATCCAGGGCGGGCGGGTGGGTGCTCAAGAAACACTGAACACCACCAACGCCGCGGCCCTCCGCGCAACCAATCCGTTACGCTAAACGCGCAACCAAACCGTTACGCCCAAACCGCTAGTGGCCAGCTAGCAATCTTGTCATGAATCCTCATGACAGGTCCAAACATTCATGTTAATCTCACATGACAAGCAAGAGACTCACATCTCTAAATCGAAACTCATGTGTCCACATGACAGGCGATAAACTTCATGCAAACCCACATGAACAGCCAGAGATCCTATCTCTAATGTAGTCCCGTGTGTCCACACGCGAAGCACATCATGGAAACTCATGACTCACCCAGAGATCAAGTCACAACCAATCAAGTGGACCAAGTTCACATAAAAGTAAGGCATCCAGAAACATGATGAACATTCGAACCCGGGTCGTCCAGTTATGTTGCCCAAAGTAAAGTTAGCGCCACAACGAAGACAACTACACCTACTGCAACATTCAACGATAAGGGTGCTATCGAATCCCACTACTCGCCCCTGCGTGTCGACCCGCGTCAATGCTCTGTCCATTCAGCCTGTAGACACTGTTCAGAGCAGCTTCGGCTAAGTCCACTCCTTGAAAAGGTTCTCCTTCAGGAGCTTCTTGAGGTTCATCATCATCTTGTCTCGGGCCTGGTGAGTCAACACACCAGCACCCACTGGATAGTTTCCACCAGTTAGGTACTCATCCAAGCAGCCATACACGTTCTCCACGTCCACTATGAAATCACCACGCTGCCCAGACTCACGATAGCGCTCATCTAAGTACACTATCTCCTTCTTCAAGATCCACCATGCAACCCAGAGACTCGGTTTCACAAATGCTCGAAACCTCAGTCCCATCAGCCATGCCGCATGTCGTGGAGCAAACTGCTGACGCCAGCCATAGTGCCTCCACACCATTGGTCCAGCGCAAGCAAAACCAACTGCAGCAAACATCATCGCACACACAATGAACCGCGCAATCACGGAGAGTGCCTTGTAGACCACTGCCATGCATCCTCATCCATAGTATGTTGAAGTAGAGGCCAGCCAATCACCAGCGTCCACCATACCATCTGCAGCTCGCCATCGTCGTTGGCACTTCCACCTGTCACAGGATCATGATGAGCGAATGCATCATTGTTGCAACCCTTCAACTACCATTTGCCATTTGGATCAAACGGACACATTGTTCTCTTGTTGCACGATTCATTCTGCGGATTCTTCTCATTGTGTTGTCATCATTTCTTTTTGCATCATTTGGACTGAAGAAACCTTCTCCGTTTTTCTCCAAGTCCTTTGGTGTTCAAGTCACCAGGATTCAGCTTCGTGTGAACTTTGAAAATGGAAAACACCAGTACGCAGCAAATTTCGAAGAAAGAACTGCTTGATCTGAATGTGCTTCAAACGTCCAGTTCCAGTTGGACGAATAAGGGCCAATGCTGATGCTGAGTCCATGTACAATCTCTGTTGCACCTTGTCGCTGTTTCCTTCGCTTTCATCTCCAACAAGAAACTTGCACAAGCGATACAAGAAAAGACTCTGCACCATCAAACCCAGCCTCGCAACTGGAAAGTGCCATTGAAGCTTGGGTTCGGCAAATGCTTTGAGTAGGTGATCCATTGAGAAAGATCAACCCTGCGAATTGTTTTGCAATCAGCCCATGAAGAATCGCTGAATGCTTTCAAAATGAATCTTCCTTCGGCCGTCCAATCTGGAATTGTAACTTCATCCTGGATAAAGTCATCCTCTTTCCAAAAGTCACTGACCATCTTGCTTCTTCAGTTGAACGTAGGAGAATGCCATCATCTGGAGTTGCTTCAAGATACAGAGGAGGCCCGCACATGCGAAGCCTGATTTCAATTGACTTTCCGGCCCCAGAAATGGAACCTGAAAGCGCAGATGTGGTATCAGCTGTCTCCGTTCCCTAGCTCCAATGCGGCGATTGTGATGCAGCACCACCCCGGCAACATTCACCAATCCTTCGCTACTCCGCGCTACTCCGCTACTCCGTGCTATGGTTTAATTCAATTACCCAATGTAATTGACACGATATCGAGACGATGGCAGAGTAAGAAAGCCTTCAATACTTCACCTTCCCACATCTTTCCCTAAGCAGATTCTTACTCCATCCCGTTTTAAATTTATACTATTAATTAATAACGGGATTGACTGAAAAGATCATAATCATAATGCATGTTCTTTCTGGGCTGAAAACTTCGGTAGGAGTCTAGAGGGGCAAGGGGGGCCAACAAGGGGCAGTAAAGTATTCAATACAATCATTCACATGGAAGCCGACCACCTGCGCGAAAACCCACAAACTCCGCAACAGCAAGCAACACTTCAAGCAATCACCTCAGGCTGCAAAAGGCTGATGCGCCTTCTTTTAGCAGCAAACAATCAAGCCACCAGACGAAACGAAATAATCAAAAGCTACCTCCAACTGGGTTCAAGCAGCAACCGCTATGCACCCCGCTTGCCCAACAAGAAACAAAATCATCTACAAAACAGCTTGCTCCGACGGACCCAATTCTGGGTCCGGAAAACCTTCTCAAAACCGGCTTCGCTCAAAAGGACCTTCCTAGTTGCCCTTCCGGTCGCCATATGTAAAAATATGCCAGTCCAGTTGGTGGGTATGTATGTAGGCAAAAAAAGCAG